AGGAAGGAGGAAGGTGGAGAGAGAAGGGGGAATTGTCATTGGTCTTGCTGGTGTAATTCTTCTTCTTCTTCTTCTTCTTCTTCTTCTTCTTCTTCTTCTTCTTCTTCTTCTTCTTCTTCTTCTTCTTTACCTCTCCTCTGGTCTTTATCTCTTTGCAAGTGCTTTCATTTCTTTCGCAATTGGGTGGCATTGTCTTTCATTGTGAATTTGCACTTGGGAAATGACCAGGATCGTAACAAGTTTAAAAAACAGAAAAAATGTTTGAAAATCAGAGGCATTTGGAAGAAGGCAGATGAAAATACAAGGAATCTGGACTTACGCAGATGCAGCGCTGACTCATCCGCTTCCCTTGCCAATCCGGTTCTCCATTACAGTCCTGTTTATCCTGGTGTGTGTGTGTGGGGGGGGGGGGGGGGGGGGGGAGGGGGGGCGACTTTGTGTATGTTCTGTTGCAGCAATGCAGCACAAGTTAGGAGTGCTGCAGCAGCACACACACAAGCAGCACATCACAGAGTCACATACACAAACAGACACACAAGCACACACAAACCGTCACACAGACAACATACGTCTTCTTCTGCAGCAGTGTTTTTCTGCTGCAGCAGAGCACATGTGTGTCACCATATTCGCTATACACAACTCCACAATGCAAAGCACGACTGTGCCAGACTGTTTCTTACTATTCTTAGTACTTTCACTGACTCATCAGGAGGTTGAACCCCGACAGTCTGCTCAGGATGCATTTGACTGATAGATAAGGACTCACCATGCCGCCCAGAGTTACCCTGAGAAAAGTGATGGACTTTACTCACACCAAGCCTGCAATCCTAGCAGACTGTAGGTCCAAAGTTCTCCAAACCCCTGACAAGAATGGCAGTAAGTCTGCGAACTAATCTGACACAGCCATAAAACCCACTCTACACACCAACTCAGCCATAGATATCCAATGGCATGAACACTAGTACGGTCCCGACCCTACCAGGGCCTACCTGCATTGGTCCGCCTTCAACAGAGAGCTTAGCAATGCTGTCATATCCGCTAATATACACACCTCCACAAAGAAAAGTATGAATGTGCCAGACTGTTTCATCATACTTTCACCGACTCATCAGGAGGGACTGTTTGTTTGTGTGTTTGTGACTGTTTGTGTCTGTGTGTGACTGGTTGATGTGCTGCAGGTGTGTGTGACTGTGTGTTGTAAACTGTCACCACAAGCACCCAACCGAGATGAGCAGATCGAAAATTGAAACAACTATATAGCAAAGAACACGAAGCACCACCTTTTTTTTTTTTTTTTTTTTTTTAAACCATCCGTTGTGGGTGCCAGCGGAAGGCAATCACCACTAGCACCCCAAGGGAGATTCTATCTATTGGTGGGGAGTGCCACCTGCTGGAAAACGGGTCCAGCGTCCCATATACAACAATCTTGAGATTTCCTGAGAAATGCAGAACTGGGGCCTGCCAGCATTGATTACCCTGGGACTCAGGGGATTGACTGAGCAGGCATGCTGAAGGGAAACATCCCTGCTGGGAACCGGGTCCAGCATCCCATGTCAAAAAGTATCCAAGCAACTGGGAAAGATAGCAGAAAACATCCCCTAAACCCGGGGTGGAGATAGGAGTGTGGTCCTGGGGGGCACCAGGGGCCCTCACCCCATCCCCTCCTCTTCCTCTTTCTACCGTCTGCTATCTGTTCCCCCCTACTCCCATCTATTGGTGGGGGATCCTCTCTGCTAGAAACCGGCTCCAGCATCCCTTGCATTGCCTCAGAGAACGGCCTGCTGCTAGAACCGGGCCCCAGCATCCCGTCTGCGTTAACCGAACCGAGCCCTAGGACTATGAGCAAATCTCCATTAATGACAGCGAATGCAGGAGGAACAGGTCCAGGAAATCCCCGGCCAGCCTTAAGTGGATTCCCCGATATATGCACTTTTCTCAGCATGGGACACTAAGGGTTATTGGTTGGCAATGCTCGACTGAGTCGACTCTGTTCTATGCGGGGAGCAGTACCCCGGCTCCTAACACCTGGCACAAACTGGAAAGTGAAGCGAATTTCCACATCCAGCAAGGGGACCCAAGCCGATTATCTCCACTGGTGAACCCGAAGGCGTATCACAGGGGGGCGCAGGGAATCGAATGGACGGACGACGCGGGGAACCGAACCCACGACCTCCTGAATACCATTTACATGCTCAACCAACTGAACTAGCCCGCTTGGGCCCTGTACAGTCCTTCCTTCATTTCCTTACTTTGGCTTTCTTTGGGGTTGTGCCCCTTTCACTTCTACTAGCAGCTCTCCTTTTACTGTGCCTCTCACATACACAGCTTTCCACATTGACTGTGGTTGTCTGTATTCTGCTGCAGCACTACTGACTGGTGCTGCAGCAGAACAAGAGTGTGTGTGTGTGTGTGTGTGTGTGTGTCTGTGTGTGTGTGTGTGTGTGTGTGTGTGTGTGTGTGTGTGTGTGTGTGTGTGGTCAAGATCGTGGGTGCTACAGTGCCCTACCGGGATAAGGACACACAC